AACCGGCGGGGTCCGGGGGTGCGGGGCGGGCCGGGGGCACGCCGGGAGGCGCGGTGGGTCTGGGGATCCCGGCCCGGCTCCGCCCGGCGTGACCCGCGCCCGCTCCCCAGCTGCGGGACTTCCTGCTGGTCTACAACCGCATGACCGAGCTCTGCTTCCGCCACTGCGTCTGCAACCTCAACTACCGGCTGCTGACGGGCCGCGAGGTGAGCGCGGCACGGGGCCGCGGCCGGGCCCGCGGGCCGGGCGGGCCCTGACCCCCTGTCCCCCGCAGGAGTCGTGCCTGGACAGCTGCGCCGCCAGGCTGGTCCGCGCCAACCACCGCCTGATGGGCGCCTACGTGGGGCTGGTGCCGGCGCTGCTGCAGCGCCGCGCCGCCGAGCACGGGGCTGCGGCGGGGCCGCCGGCAGCCGGAGCGGCTGCACCCCTGCTGCCCGGAGCCCCGGGCTGCAGCAGCGTTGCACCGGGCCCCGGGAGCCCCCAGCAGCGGCTGGGCCGGGCCGGGCACCAGGGCTGGGGCACAGGAACCGGGGCAGGGCCCCCAGCCCTCCTGGTTGTGCATTTCTGGGAAGTGGATTGCGAGTACCAATAAAACATCTTCACAGGAACGCTCAGTGTGACACGTGGGGAGGCACCAGAACCCTGGCCTGGGGTCCCTGTTGGGTGTGCTGGAGGGAGACCAGGGCACAACTGGGGATCCAGGGAATTGCACTTAAATGTGAGACAGATGTCTCCCTGCAGTTCTCAGTGCAGCTGGCTGGTGCAGAGCAGGCACTCAGACAGGGCCGGCAATGCCAGTGCTGCCAGGCCCGTGGCCCCAGCTGAGGGCACGTGTGTGCAGGGTCCCTGGGAGGGCCTGGCCTCTCCTCTCCCCCTGCAGCCCTGGGCAGGTAAGCGGCAGCCCCAGTACAGAAATAAATCGATATATTCGTGTACAAAACATGCTCCTGCAGGCGCGGCCGGGCGCTCCCGCGCACATAAATAAGGCCCGGCCGGCCTCCCCCAGTCCTGCCCGCGGGGCCAGCGCCTGCGCCGGGGCCTCCCCTCCCGCGGGACCCCCGGGCTGGCCGGGGTCACTTGAGGTCCACGTCGAAGTCCAGCACCAGCAGCTTGGTCTCCTCGGTGCCGTTGCGGCTGCCCACGGCGCACACCAGCTTGGTGTTGGAGGCGCGGATGCGCCACACCACGCCCCCCGAGCCGCCGCTCTCCAGCGCCACCAGGTTCCGCACAAACTCCCCCGTCTTCAGGTCCCACAGCTTCACCGTGCCGTCGTCAGAGCTGGTCACCACGAACTTGGAGCTGAACTGCAGGCAGGTCACTGCACTCTGGTGCTTGCTGGGACCTGTGGGGAGGCACCCGTGAGCCCCTGGGGCAGCCACTGCTGTGTGGCATGGGTGCTGCCACACAGCTGGCACCTCAGGGGCACCCAGCCCTGGCTTCTCAGGGACTCCCACCACTCTGCCCCAACACAGCCCCAAGGGCAAGGAGCTCGCTGCCTCCCTCCCACCCCCAAGGGAGAGAGCTGCCCCTTCCCAGCCCCCAAGGGTGAGGAATCCCCTCTCACCCTGCAGCGTCTGCAGGCACTGCCCCGTCTTGATGTCCCAGATCTTGACCGTGGAGTCGGCGTTGCCGGACACGAGGATGTTGTCGCGCAGCTCCATGCCGCTGGTGAGCGACTGGTGCCCCATCAATGTGTGCAGGCAGTTCCCACTCTCCACGTCCCACACGCGGATCGAGGTGTCCAGGGACCCGCTCACGATGTGTGTCCCATCAAACTGCCAGAGAGGAGGGGTCCAGCTCAGTATTGAGGACAGCAGTGTCCCTGGTTTGGGGTGCAGCCCACAGCTCTGGCAGCCCCTGGTTTGGGATACAGCATCCCCAGTTCCAGCAGCACCACCAGAGACCCCAGTGCAGCAGATGAGACAGACTCATGCACTTCCTGGCTTTTTGGGCTGTAGAAATGCTCCAGGAAAGGGGCATGGAGGAATGTTTAGTGTCTATGTCCACAGCATGTGTGTGTGGGAAGTGGAGTCAGAGGGGCAGAGACTTTCCCCGCAGGACACAAACATGGCCCATGTGTCCTTGCAGGGCAGATACATCCCCGTCAGGACACACACGTCCCTGCAAAGCTCACAGGGCCTTGCATGACACAGGCACAGCCTATTTGTCCCTACAGCACATGTGGGACCTTTGGCACAGCTTGTGCCCATGACTGGAAGGCAGGGGAGCGATAGGGCAAGCCAGCAGGAAGGCAGGTTGTGCCTGAGGGAGCAGGGAGGGCAGGTTGTACCTGCGAGGTTGTGCCTGAGGGAGTGGAGAGGGCAGGGGAGCTGGAGAGGGGAAGCAGCAGGGAAGCAGCACTCCGGGGCCGTACCTGCAGTGAGTAGACGCGGTTGGTGTGCCCCTGCAGTGTGTGGGTGCAGCTCTCGCTCTCGGGGTCCCACACCTTGACCGTGTAGTCGTAGGCACCGCTGACCACCTTGTTGCCGTCGTACTGGACGCAGCGCACGGCTGCCACGTGGCCCATCAGCACGTGCAGGCACTGCCCCGTCTCGATGTCCCAGAGCCGCAGCGTGGCATCCCGGGAGCCGCTCACCACCCTGCAGGGGAGGGGACGCCTGTGTGGGGCCCAGCTGCCAGGGCAGCCTGGGGCTAAGAAGGCTGAGCGCCCGGGTATCCCCCTCCCAGGGCACTCACAGCCCTGCCGTACCTGTTGCCGTGCAGGTGCATGCAGCGCACCGTGGAGGTGTGTCCGTACAGCGTGTGCACGCACTCGCCGCTGTCAGCGTTCCACACCTTGAGCGTGCGGTCAGTGGAGCCACTGATGACAATGCTGTCCCTCATCTGGGAGGACCAAACCCCCCCAGTGTGGCCCACCAGCGTCTGCACACACTGTGGGGAACAGGACATGGGGGACAGGTGAGCCTCTCACCCCTCCCCACCCCTGAAACAGCACAGAGGAGCAGCACAACTCCCTGTCCTTGCCATAAAGGGCCCAAACTGACCCCAGGAGTCAGGGTGAAGCCCCACCTGTGCCCAGCACAGGGAGATGGTCCCTGCCCCAAACCCCAGTGGCACGGGTGACAATGCCACACTCAGTTCCCTGGTGACAGTGATGCTCACCTCCCCTGTGACAGCTGACCACACTTTGAGCGTGTTGTCGTCGGAGCCGCTCACTATGCGGTTCCCGCAGAACTGCAGGCAGGTGATCACGTGGTCATCGTGGCCCTTCAGTACCTGTGGGAGTACAGGAGTGTGTGGGGGACAGTGTGGCACCCCCCAGCCAGCAGGACCCCCCAGCACAATGAGCAGTGGGAAGGCAGCAGGAGCTGTGGGGAGGAAAGGCAGACGGGTCTCCAAATCACCTGCAGCCCCTGATGCTTCTGCAGGGCAGCAGAGCTGGGGTGTGGGGTGTGTCTGGCAACTGCTGCAGGGGCAGGGGTTACAGGAGAACAGGGAGTGGGGGGCTCAGGAGCCCAGCAGCAAGACAAAGGGTGGTGGGGACTCTGTCCAGGGGCAGATCACCTGGGTTCTGGGACCCTGCACAGATCACAGTTGAGCCCTGTGATGCTGCACCTTCCCTGTGTGCTGGGGCTGGCTGCAGCCCTGCATGTGGCCTTGGAGAGGGGCAAAGGAAGGGACCCCCTTCTCCAGGCCCAGGGAATCTCATTTCTGCTGCCCCCACTGCTCTGAGCAAGCTGGATCTGCTCCCCATGGCAGATCCTGTATCAGCTTCCCCACGCCAGTGACCTGGGGTCTGTCCCCAGAGAGACCCCACCAGCCCCTCAGCTCTCCCTGGCAGGGGCACTCCCAGGCTCACCGTGGGGACCACGGCTCCCCAGAGCCTGTCCCCGCTGGGACACCCAGCCCTACCTTGGGGGGCCGCAGCTCCCCGCTGCGCCAGTTCATGTCGATGCGGTGCTGCCGCAGGAAGGCGAATTTCCAGGGGCTGTACATGAACCCTGGGCTGAGCAGGCGTCGCTTCCGCAGGTGTAGGGGCTCCTCGATCCCTGCAGGGGACAACACAGTGGTGCCTCACCCAGTCAGGCCTGGGGTGGCCCCCCAGCCCCCACCCGGGAGCACCCCCACCTTCCTCACGGCACTTCTCCCTCCAGAGCAGATTGTCCTCGGCCAGGACCCTCCAGTAGCGGCAAGTCTGGGCGGCACGGAGCAGGTCCCGTGGCTCCAGGAAAGACAAGACGTACAGGGCCAGCTGCGGGGGGACAAAGGTCACAGAGGGGTCACCGGGGGCAGTCAGGTCAGGCCAGGCCGGGCCCCGGGTCCCCAGGCTTCACTCACCTCCTTGGGCAGCAGGGAGATGAAGTCCCGCTGGAACTGGGGCTCGATGACCTGCATCATGTACTTGATCTGCGCCGGCTCGCAGCGGTCAATGAGCTCATCCAGGGCCAGCAGCTTCTCGGGGCCGCTCCAGCGCTGCAGGGGGACCCCCAGTGACCCCCGGCTCTGTGTCCCCAGCCAGCCCAGCCACAGCCCCGGCAGCCAGGCCTCTTGTCCCAGGCCAGAGCCTGAGGCAGGTGGGAGTTTGGTGGGTCACAGGTGCTGTGTGACAGGTGACAACACACCTGGCCAGAGCTGAAACCTCCTCTGTGTTTCCTCACACAAACAAAACTACCCAAAATCCACTGTGGGCCCAAGCCCTGCCCGGAGTGGGGACCCCTCAGGGTCAGCTCCCTCCCCTCATCCCAGGCTGCCTGGAGCCACCAGGTGAGCCATACCTGGAAGGTGCGGAGCCAGTCCTGCAGCTCGGGTGGGGGGGCCACCGAGGGGATGTGCCGGCGCCGGGCCTGCCCCACCTTGGCATTGCGCAGGTCCCCAAAGGTGGTCGTGGGGCTGGGTGTACAGGGACCCAGTGTCCTGGGACAAACACCAGGCACAGGTGAGGCCACGGCACAGCTGGCATACACCAGCACTGCTCTGAGCCACAGTGCTCCAGAGCTCCTGAAACTGGCTCCTGCCAGTGGGAGCTCCACCCCACTGACCCCTTCTCTTTGCTCCCACCCTGCCGACCCCTTGCCCAGCCATGCAGCCCAGCCTGCTCAGCAGACAGGCAAGTGGTCAGGGCTGGATCTCACCTGGGCCAGCCCCTGCTCAACCCAAGTGGCTCCACCATCCTCCTGGGGAGGGCAGCAGGAGCTGTGTTGCCCCAGCACACAGAGCCCCCCTGACCCTCACCTGCCATAGTCAGAGCCCTTGCACAGCTTCTTCCCAGGGGACAAGGCCCGGCCATCTGGCCCATTCTCTGACTTCCGCTTCATCTGCGGGACACAGCAGGTTGGAGTGGCTGGAGAAACCCGGGCAGACCCCTGCAGACCCCTGCCCACAGCTGAGCCTTGTGGACCCCCACAGGCCACCCACCCAGAACCGACCCCTGCAGGCCCCCTGCCCAAGGGGACAGACCCCCACCTGCTCTTGCTTTCTCCCTCTGGGGTCCATACAGCAGCAAAGGATCCCCACACAGGGCAGGGGGCTGCAGCAGGGCCAGCCGGGGCTGGGCACAGAGGCAGCACCTCCTTCCCCCACCCTGTGACCAAGGACCCCCGTGGAGGGCAGGGGTCTGCACGGGGGCTGCGGCAGCCCCAGCAGCCAGGCAGCATGGGACCCCAGCCCGCGTTTACCCTCCCACAGGTGCCCCGGGCACCTTGGGGCGCAGGTGCCGCAGCAGCCCCCCGTCCCCCGTGCGCTGCAGGTAGTCGATCCACCGCTCTCCCAGCGTGTAGTACAGGTACACGTTGCTGCTGTCTTCCCCCTCCTCGCTGCAGCAGCTCCCTTCCTCCTCCTCCTCTTCTTCCTCCTCTTCCTCCTCCCTGGTGGACCTGGGGGGCTCCTGTGGTCCCCGCTCCCCAGAACCATCGGGGTCTGCTCCAGACCTGGGGGTACCCTTCCAGGGGCGCTCCGGCTCCCAGGGCCCTGGCGCCTCCTCCTCCTCTTCCTCCTCTTCAGCCACCACCTGAGCAGGGAAAAGGCAGGGGAGCAGGGCTGACTCTGCAGCAGCCTTGGAGAGACCTCCGCTCTCCTGCTGGAGACCCGGAGCAGGGCAGGGCAGGGAGTGCTGCTGGATGGCTGCCAGTGAGAGCCACGGCCCTGCAGCACAGGGGCTCCACTCAACAGCACTGGGCTGCAGGACAACCACAGCCACGAGCTCCAGAATCCCCCAGATGCAGTTCTGCCTGCTCGCCACGAGCTTCCCCTGAGCCCCCCCAGAGCCAGACCTCCTCCCTCGTCCTTGCACCTGGCAGCAGGGACCCTTCTGCACCCACCTGTGCCGCAGGTGCCCTGTGGTCCTCCCTGTCCCCCAGGGGCGTGGGGCTGGCCCGGGGGGGCCCCTCGGGGCCGGGGCACCGCCGGCACGTCATGCGCTGGCTGTTGAGCTCCAGGATGCGTGTGGTAATGCCCTTGACGTGCAGCAGGTCATCCAAGCAAGTGAAGCCCTTCAGCTCCTGCGCGGAGGGAAGTCAGCCCTGCCCAGAACAGAATCCCTCCTGCTCCCAGAGCCCCCTGCCCGAGCGGCCCCGCAGGGAGCAGTCACAGCGCTGTCAGAGGGGGGCAGGAACCACAGCTGCCAGCCGGGGTAGGGGCACTGTGCCCCCAGAACAGGATGGGGATGGGGAGCGAGGCTGCAGCTCCAGGCAGGGGAACAGCTGGACACGTGCAGATAACACACGGGAGGCACCCACGGCCCCGGCCCGGCCCCGACCGGGGCTCCGCTGCCCCCGCCACCCTGCACGGCTCCCGGAGCGCCGGCCATGGGAGGAACCCGGCGGGGCCGGGCTGTCCTGGGGCAGGGCTCGACAGACAACGGGCAGCCCACGGGCCGGGGAGGGCCCGACCGGCCCTTCCGACCCGGCAGGGCTCGTTTGACGGTGCTGCTGCCCACGAAGGGCTGCAGCAGCGGCACCGCCCGGGGCAGGCCCCGCTCCAGACCACCCTCCCTTTGTGTCACCGGTTTCTGCGCTCCCGCCTCCCGGTGTTCCCCAGCGTACGTGTCCGCAGCATTCGGACATCCACGCCTCTACCTCCTTTCCGAGCCCCAGACACGCCAAGCGCTCCCGGCCCCGCCTCGCCCATCCCGGTAGCATCGGGGCACGGCTGCCGCGCCCGCCGGGCCGGGCCCGCGGGGCCGCTCCCTCTGCCCCGGCCCGGGCACCCTGGCCGCAGGGTCTCGGCCCACCATGGCCCGTGACGGCGCTCGGAGGCAGTCGGGGCGCGGGCCAGCCCCGCTCCCCGCGGCCCCGCACTCGCCCCGCGGCCCCCACCCCGGCACCGACACCGCCCCGGCCGCCCCCGCCCCGGGGTCCCGGGCGCGGGGCGCCGTCCCCGCCGCTCCCCCCGCCCCGCACCTCTCTCTTGCGGACGATACCGCGGGCACGGCGGCGGCCGATGCCGCTGAGGGCACCCTCCAGCTCGGCCACGCCGGCGCGGTTGATGTCGAGCTTGGCCCCGGCGGGGCCCGGCCCCGACATCCCGGTACCGGTCCCGGGCGCTGCCGCCGCGCAGGCCCCACAGCACCGCGCAGGCGCGGCCCCGCCCCCACACGCGCAGGCGTAGCTATGAGGAAGCAGCGGCTTTATTGGTGCTCGCGCGCGGGGGCGGAGCCAGCCGCCGTGGCCCCGCCCCCGGCCCCGCCCCGTCCCGGTCACCGGCGCTTGTACAGACACGGCCGCAGGCGCAGCCCGGCAGCGGGGCCCGGCCGCGCCGCGCCCGCCTTGGCGAACTCCAACACGTAGAAATAGGAGCTGGAGAGGTCCTGGGGGCGGGGGGACACCCGACTCTGTTAGCGATACCCCGGAGCCCCCGGCCCCTCCAGCACCACTCAATGGTCCCTCCGCAAACCCCGGGTTCCCCTGCCTCCTTCCAGACCCCCAGTGTGCCCAGACCCTGGCTCCAAAGCCCTTGTGGGGACTGAGTACCCCAGCCCCAGCGTGCTCCTCTAAATGCCCAACACACCCCTCATCAACCCCACAGCACAACTCCTCCAGGCCCCGGGACCCCCAAGCCCCTCCCGGGCTGCACACCCACCGCCAGCCCCCGCACTGCAATCCCAGTGCGCTCCCGGCCCCCTCATCCCCTCCCCAGCCCCATCCAACCTGCGTCCCAACCTGCCACAGCGTGTGCCCAGGGCCTCCCCCCAGGACCCCACTGCTGTGTGTACGTGTGCCCCCGTTCCCCACCTGCAGCCCCCCATGCACCAGTCCCTCCCACCTCCGTCTGCTTTCACCAACCCCAGGTCTGCTCCACGCCAGGCTGGGCCCCAGTACCCCCCTCCCCAGACCCCTCCCTGGGCTCCCCGGCTCCGGGTGCACCCGTGCCCAGCCCTAGGCACACACCTTGGAGACGGTCTTGAAGCCCAGCTGCGCCATGGCCTTCAGGAAGGCACGGATGTCCTCGAAGCGGCTGGCCACCTCGGCCACCAGCAGGGTCCCCCTGCGGTCACGGGAGCTCTGAGCAGGGTGCCCGGCACCCCCAGGACGCTGCTCAGCATCCCTGCCCCAACCCCGCTGCCCCACGAGCTCTGCCTACCCGAGCTTGAGCACCCGGTTGGCCTCTCCCAGGATCTCCTGCAGGTTGGTGCCCATCAGCGCCAGGCAGAACACGGCCACGTCCACCGACTCAGCCGCCAGCGGCACCTGCCCAGCCGGGGACAGCCCCGGAGGAGGAGGATGACGGCTTGGCCTGGGAGCCGCCCTGCACACCCCCGGGAGCAGCAGGAGGATGGCGATGTTGATGGGGCTGGGACACGCCCCCGGAGCCCCCAGGCTTGTGCCCCAGGCACACCCCCAGCTTTCGAGCAGGCACGGCCGCGCTTCCCCCGCACGGGACCCTCGGGTCATGGTCCCCGCGCGCTGCCCGTACCTTGGCCATGTCGCAGACGGTGACCCGCGGGCTCAGCGGCACCAGGTCGAAGCAGTGCACCTGGTTCTTGACGCTGGCGGCCAGCGTGCAGTCCCCGCAGCCGAAATCCGCCACCACGAGTGACGCGGGGCTGGGGCAGGACGGCGGGCTCAGAGCGGCGCCTCGGCCCCGCTGCGCTCCCGCCACCACTCCCGGGCCCCCCGCTCATCCTCGGGCCGGCCCCGGCTCTCCGTTCAGCCCCCCCGCTCGCGGCCCCGCTCCGTCCTCCCCGCTCCGTGCTCGGCTCCCGCTCACCGGCGGCGCAGGTAGCGCACGATGCGCTGCACCGGGCGCTCGGGCCAGCGCCGCACCTGCCGCTCGAAGCCCCGGTGGTAGAGGTGGAAGGCGGCGGGGTCGGCGCGGAAGAGGCGCGCGGCGTCGCGGCTGGTGCCGGTGTAGAGCTGCTGGTTCAGGTAGCGGAACCGGGCGCCGAGCAGCCGCTCCTCCATCCGCGCGCGCAGCGCGGCCGAGCGGCCCGAGCGGGGCTCCGGGGCAGCCTCCGCGGGGCTCGGCGGCTCCGGGGGGCCCGGCCCGGAGCCCCGCTCCCCGTCCGACCCCGCCGGCGGCTCCTGCTGCCGCTTCTGCCGGTTCCGCCGCTGCCGCCGGCTCAGTCCCGCCGGCTTCCCGGACTGCTCCGCCGGGCCGCCTGCGGGCATCAGAGGGGGCTCAGGGCGCGGCTCCTCCTGCCCCCCGGGCCCCGGAGCCGTCCCGGTACCTGTGTCCGGCCGCTGCCCAGCCTCCCGGGGCCCGTCGGGACCGGCCGGGAGCTCCCCGGCCGCGGCCCGCGCCCCGCCGGCCTTCTTCCGCTTCCGGGGCCGCTTCCGCGCCGCCTCGCCGTCCCGAGCGGTCCCGGGCAGCCGTCTCTTCCGGGGCTGCTGCGGAGAGCGGGCCGGTAACTGCCCCGCGCCCGGACGGCCCGGCCCGCCGCCCGCATCGCCCGCTTACCGCTCGGCCCGGGCCCTCCGGGGCGCCGCGGGGCAGCGGCTCCGCTGCATCGCTCCAGCCCTGCTCCGCGAACATGGAGCGGGCACCCTAGGCCGGCACCGGGACCCACGTGCTCCCGCCCCGGAGCGCCGCGGGAACAGCCCCGCCTCGCGGCCCGGAGGACCGGGCGGGGACAAGGCCGGGTGACCGCGCCCCCGGGCAATTCGGCACGCCCCGTTACCCCGCGTCCAGCCCGCCCGACCGCGCTCCGCGGCGCCGCCCGGTGCCGTGTGGCGGCGCCGTGCCCGGTGCCCCGCCCCCTGACCCACCCGGTGCCGTGGGCGGAGCCGTGCCCGGTGCCCCGCCCCCTGAACCACCCGGTGCCGTGGGCGGAGCCCTGCCCGCTGCCCC